TTACTCCTTACAGCATTCTTCTAGGTCTTACACCTTCATTTTTTAAAGGCAGCGGGAGGCATGGCTACACAAACTTTGAACTCAGTCCTTGGGCAGCAAGCTGAAGTTAACCCATGCTTGGACACTCCCGCAGTGCCTAGAGAACGACCATTCAGGTAAGCCAACGGTCATTTTCATGTTTTCACAAAAGATTCTTCACTCAAACTGGCAGCTTTTGTGAAACACTCTTTTTAGGTGGTTTGTTTGGCTCTACTGCTGTAAGTAATTTTGGTTGATAACGTTAAAAAGTAAAAGAATTAGATAGTTTACCAAGATGACCATGGTAACCTTTGTACAACATTCAAGGCAAAAATCTGAATAAAACAGATCCATATAATCAGTACCATTCGGATCACAGTGATATTACAATATCACACGCAAATAAACATTTTTCACTGGCTGAATCAGCAAAAAATGTAATGTTGAAAAACAACTTCTATCACTCAGACATTCTGTCTGCATCCTCAAGATCCAAAAGCTAAACAAATTAAAAACTATTAGATAAGCACCTGAAACAGATGTTTCACAATGAGCAGCTGACTGCTACACCTTTTCCCTTTGCACCATCCCAGCAAATAAAGCCTCAGACTACAGAACAATAGTAGATATTACTATCTACTAAATATGAGTGCTCTAAATATGATATAGATTTTCGATACTCCTGTCCATATCTGACCTTCTTCATCCCAAATTGCTTTTTTGTTAGGACTCTAGATGTGTATATCCATATTTCTGGAGATCTAAAATCACAGAATAACTATTTAAAAATGTACTTTAGGAAGATGTTTTTATGTGCCACAAACCTTCCAGAGATGGCAAATTGTACGGAAATTACATTTTGAAATGTGCACTATAATCAGGAATATGTGATTGAATATTTTATATAAATTGACTTTATGATCCTAGCCTTATTTTTACTTCTTAAAAGTGATTATCACTTCTCAATTTAATATATAGCATTTTTCCAGATAAAATTTAAGGTTAGGATTTATCTATTTTTCTCTTGAAAAGGGGATCTTGTAGACATGAGAAAGCCTACCAACTTTGATTAAGCTGTCCAACTGTATGCTTTTACACGTACACAGGTTTATACTTTCTCCTTCCAAGTTTCCCTTTTTCAGAAATACAGGTTCTGTGCCATTAATGATTACCTTTTCTTGATAAGGCACTTGTTGGCCTACAGAATGGGAAAACAGGTTATCATATTCTGTTTTATGGGATACACCATATTTCAGTTTATGAAGCCAAGAACATGGACAAGAAACCTGTACCTGCCTGCCTGACAACACACACTGTGATCTCTGGTGATGTGGCCTCGTTTGAGCTGGCTGAGGGATTGAGTGGGTGGATGCAGGGAGTGGTAAACGAATTTTGCATGAGAAGAGTAGTGCCATCATACCGCAAGGAAGGCCATTTGTCTTTCTGCTCCTCAGGAAACATTGCCTGGATTGTCTCAAAGTACCTGAGCATGTAATAGTTTTGCATTTCTTAGAGGATACTGATTATTACTTTTAAATTAAAGCTTATTGAACACATTTTTATGAAAATAAAACAGTGCAGGTATTAGAAAAGAAATAGAAAATAAGAAAGAAATTAAGAAAAAGAAATAGAAGTAGAAAAGAAAGGATTATAAAGCAATTTCCAGTCTTCTCGACAGTAGTCATAAATGCATTTAGATTTTACCTTCTCTCTCTAAGGTTGCATCATAATTTTCACAAGGTTCACAAAATTCACAAGTAGGTAGTTGTTTCTCTAATCAAAGGAAGTTAATTTTGCCGTTATCTTTATAAACTTTCTTCTATTGTGGGTATTTTAGAGTCTTTACATTATTGCAGATTTATTTTGTTCCCTTTGATCTTGGTTCAGCCCTGGTTTTGGGGTAAAGTCAGCTATGGATAGATTTATTTACTTATTTATTAAACTCAATTTAGGTGCTGACTCCAGACAGCTCACAATATAATAAACCATAAAAATACAATACAAAACAAAATGGAATCCGGTTACTAGTCTACACAAAAACATAGACAAAAATACAGCCAGTAAAGGGCTCCATGCATTTTAACCCAAGGCCTGGGAAAATAATCATGTTTTTAAAGACTTTTGGATTGTCATGACAAAGAAGGCACATTTCTGGAATCCCCATAGATAGTACTGTTTAAAGGAACCTGGAGCATGCCAAATCTACCAGCACATACTGACTAGGCAGAAATATTGGCTGTTTGTCAAATAAGCTGGTTCTTAAGTGTAGCTAGATGAGATGGATGGTCTGTTATGGGAATTGAGGTAAAGAGAATGTGAGTTTATTTATTATGTTGGATTTCTCAACAGCTTTTGGTATTGCTGATACAGTACTTTCCTGGGCTGCCTCTGTGAGTTGGTAACTGGGGGACACTATATTACAATGATACTCTCTCTAGTTGCAAGGAGAGTTTTGGAGAGTAATACTAGGCAAGTGTACTTTTACACTCTATGCCCATAGGAGTAAACCTATGGCACACGTGAGCCATTTCCGAGGGCAAGCGAGGCGTTGCCCTATCAGCTCCAGCGTGCATGCGCGCTGGCCAGCTGATTTTCAGCCTTGATTTTTGACCATTTTTCATCCTTTGGAGGCTTCCCTGAACCTGAAGCCTCTGGAGGGCAAAAAACCACCCAATGCGCAAACTGGAAGTTTGGGAATGGACTTCTGGTTTGCGTGTTGGGCTGTTTTTCGTCCTCCATAGGCTTCAGGGAAGCCTCCTGAAGCTTCCGGAGGGAGAAAAACGGCCAAATGGGCAAACCAGAAGTCCATTCCCGAACTTCCAGTTTGCATGTTGGGCCATTTTTCACCCTCCCCAGGCTGCTAGAAAACCTCTGGAGCCTGGGGAGGGTGAAAATGGATCTATCGGGCCCACTGGAGGTTGAAAAATGGGCTGTTTGCGGCCTCCAAAGGGTCTCCAGGAGGGAGTGGGAGGGCTCGTTTTCACCCTTCCTAGACTCCAAAAAAGCCATGCGTGCATGCATAGGTTGTCAGCTCCGGCCAACCCAGAGGCCTGGAGCTGCCATTCAGGGGAGAAACCCGGGCCATTTGCCAAGACTCACCAGGTTTCACTCCTACACAAACAGCTGGGTAAATCTACAAAGCCAGTGATAACTGACTGACAATAATCCACGATTAATTGCCAGGTGGTTTTTGTTTTGGGTTACGAGGGGATGGGTGTGCGCGTGCATGGGATGCAGGTTATCCTAATTACTAAGTAACTATAAAATGTGGTGGGAAACACCGGGTGGAAGCTCTGATAATTTATTCATTGCCTTAGTTCTTTGTTGGTCAGTTTGTGCCGAAGGAAGAATACAAACTGCACTTCAAACCGTTTCTGTGTTTGGCTGTTTTCATTAATCCTTCGGAACCTGACACGGGGCAGAGGTGGGGGTCACACGCGCATGCGCAGGGGGAACGGTATGGGGGAGCATTAAATTATAGGGGTGGGCATGCGCGCACGTGCAATAGCGTGCTTTTGGCACCTGAGGTGAAAAAGGTTCGCCATCACTGCCCAATGCTTAGGGGTGCCTGAAAGCACTCTCCCCCATATTATTTAAAGTATTTGTAAAGCCATTAAGAGTCATCAAAATTTGGGGGACTAAATATCACCCTTGACTTGATTTCTCTGTATCATTCAATTAGGAGAGATGGTGCAGTGCCGTGTGCCGTAATGATCAGGAGAAACAAAGATTTAATCCTAATAATATTGAGACTGGTGGGTGTGTGGCTCCTGCTTTGGGAATTGTGGAGCTGATTTTGTTCCATAAGGGGTTGTATTTATTTAGAAGTAACTGCCATTTACTACCAAGCTACCTTTATGATTTTTATGTTATTTGAGACTAGTCCTCAAATATAGTGACCTCAATTGCAACTGGCAACTTGGTTGTTAAACAAAGCAGATACTGAATGAAACTGTGGCTTTGCCTAACATCTTACTTCAACTTTCCTTTCCTTTATAGGCTTGTGAAGGTCATAAACACAAGGATTAGGTGGAAAGTTACTTTTTCATCACTGTTGTAACTACAAATAGTTATTCTATGAGATAGTTGCTAAACAAACTAAACCTGTAGGAGATCTGCCAGATTATTAACCTCAGGAAGGACTTGCAACCTTTACTGAGAAATGCTGAATGTCATCTGATGGCTATTCCCGGTCTGATCTTCTCAGTGAAAGTTCTACACCCTGAAATACTTTTCCACTGAAGTTTGAGGAAGCATCTACTTATTATACTATTGTTTAGGCACAGGTTGAAAACTTATCCTTTCAAGCCATAGATTCAATACTGTTTTATTAGTTCATCGTTCCCCAACATGACTGTCATCCAGCTGTAGTAACTTCATCTCCCAGATTTTTCAGTAATACGTCATGCTGGCAGGGAAGTTATATAATGACTAATTTCAGTTGTTACATAAATCTGGATTGTATGAAGGTTGGGAAACTTGCATTTAGATTAATTGAAGGTTTGTTGCAAACATTTGATTTTTCAAACTTTTGTCAGACCAGATAGCTTGGAAAAGGGTCAGGGGAGGGGAATTGCTGGTGTTCGACCTTGACTATACCATTCTTACAGGTTATTAGGGACAGTCTCCAATTGTGTGATTATTTATAGAATTTATATTGGACAACACCAAGGAATCTCCAAAAGCTGGCTGCTGCTGGTGCAAATCACATGTTTGTCATTCTTCCATTTTTATAAATACAAACTAGTCTAATCTTACCAGCATGAATAAAATCATATGTGCCTCGTGTTCGCCTGATAAAAATAAATGCGCCAATCATTATAAGTTATAATATTAGCTATAAGTGTTACTTATTGAAGTGTTACAATATTAAATTATGGATTATTATTTTCACAATATTGTTCAACGCAATGTTTTTACAGATAATTTTGAAGTTTTGCACCTTATTAACAGTTTTGCTTATTTATTTTTTGTCTCAATAGCAACTTTTTAACTGTCAGTCTCTATACAAGTTGAGTTTGCCGGACAATGATTTAACAACATTGCCTGCATCCATAGCAAATCTCATTAACCTCAGGGAACTGGATGTCAGCAAAAATGGTGAGTTTTTCCTAATATTACCATGAACACTAAGGAACAAGGTTATAAAAATAGATATTTAGATTTCTGAATCTATGGAAATAACTTTGGGTGCAAAGGTCCAAAAGTGTGAAAGTACATGACATATTTTTTATTGAATCAATTAATTTCACCAAAAACACTTTTCATCTTTGTTTTGCATGGCAAAACTGAAGTTAAAAGAAAGTAACCTGTATAATGGTTTCCTATGCAAGCAGATTAAATTGGAGATTGCAGTTATGGAAGATGTATATATTTTAAATCACAATAACTGGAGAACTCTTACCTGCTTGCACAAGAAACATTTTTGTGTTTGTTACTGCATAATATACTGTAACAAACGCATTTTATTTGTTTGTTACAGTGTGTTAGTCATTATACCATTGTGGCAAATTACCATTCTATGGACAAATCTATTTATTTTTCTTGATATGACATTGTCAGTGCCGACTGGCGACTACGCGGAGGAGAGCCTTCTCAGTAGCAGCTCCGA